CGACCTGGGTGGTCGACGGGCACATACAGGAGCAGCTGGTCGACGTGGTTGCCCGGTCGACCAGGTTACCTGGGTGACGAGGTTCTGCGGAGGAGTGCGACGGTCGCCCAGGCGAAGTTGGCGAGTCCGATCTCGGTGGTGGTATCCCGAGGTTGACGTGGCTGGTCGGATGCACGAGGTTGATTTGGTGTGTGCGCTGTGCAGGTGACAAGGCACGGCACGCCAATCATCTGCGAGCACCTGCGAAGCAGGTGCGCTGCTGTTCTGTCAACCTGCGACGTTGGCACGCCATCGACTTGCAGTGTTGGCAAGCCGCGACTTTGCACTGCTGGAACGCGGTCAACCAAGTCGTGCTGTAACGCGGTCGCCCATGCTGCGCTGGCAATCGTCCAGCTTGCATGCTAGCTCTGATGTAGTCTTGTCATGCCAACTTCTTTGTACCATTGTTGTCAACTTTCTCTAGTGAAACTCTTGCCAACTTGCCCCGTGAACTAGCAAGCAGTGTGTGCACTAGGAAAACGACTAAGGACCAACGAACGCAGAGATCACACGAGCACCCGTGACTAGCCCGCAGTCTAGCTCCTGTTGATAGAGTTATCTCCGCAGTTCCCAAGCGGATGCAAGACCAATTTTGAGTTGTTTCCAATCCGTGATGCAATCCGTGATCCAATCCGTGATATAAAACAATCGCACCATGCACAAAAATGTCGCAAACTTGCTACGACATTTCAACTTCTCCCGCCCATCCAAATTCGCATCGACCTCAATGCATGACTCCTAATCGCAAAAGAACCTGCCAAATTCACATCTGCCACCACACACGCAGCACACACACAACTTTTGAGCTAACGAATAACACGGAGAGAGATGCAACTGACTAGGAAACAGAAGAACGACGAGGTGAGGCGAGAGGAGAGAGAGGGAGGGGGCGACGGGAATTGTGACGCTACGAGTGGGAGAGTGGGCGATAGGGACAAGTATGGTGATGTGAGTTGCGGGAGAGAGAGGACAGTGACAGTTGTGACTGGAGCATTAGAGGAGCGGCTTGAGAGGGGAGATCGTGAGGGAGACAGCGAGGGCGACACGGGTGGAGAGACAACGACGTTAGGGGAGGGGACGAGGTATCGCGAAGGAAATTTGCCATACAAGGATGGGAGATCGTGGGCGACGGCAAAGGGAGGGTATCGCGAAGGCGACTGGGGATGGGGGGTCGCTATGAGATTGCGAGGGAGAAAGCGAGGGAGAAGTTTGTCCACGACGGGAAAAATTGCATGCCGTTACTAGCCACTCATCACAACATTACGCACCAGAGCTAAAGTGGACACTGGAAGAAAATAAGAGGGTGACGGGAGGCTGACGGGATAGGAGAGCAGATCACAAAGGCGATCGGAAGGGAGGGCGACGGGAAACGGGAGGGCGACGGAATGAAAGAGCAGGTCGCGAAGGCGATCTGAAGGGAGGGCGACGGGAAGCGGGGAGGCGACGGGATGGGAGAGCAGATCGCGAAGGCGAACTGAAGGGAGGGCGAGCGCGAGGGGAAGTTTCGCTTGATGCCGATGGCGAGGAAATGTTTTGCTTCGCCTGGAGTTAAGTTTCGACGGTCAGCTGCGGCGACACGATCTGCTGGCTTGGTTAGTCGTGATTGGCAGGCAGGAGAGGCCTCTGACATATTCACGATATGGCATAGAATAGGAGCGGTTGACATGCCAACACTTCGTTGTTACCGTTCCTACATACTTCAGCGCCTCGCAACGCCAAGCCCAGTATTACTACATTATGCATCCGAGCTGAGTCGATACATGACACAATCAAACTAAGTTAAAAAATGGCATGCCTAGGATGCAAGCGACCAGGATTTCAACTATACTAGTGATATGGGAATAGAAAAGTGGCTTGTGAACAGGGCTAATTTTATCTGTGTAAATCACCCTGATACCGTGATCATCAGGGTGAAATTTAATAGTCACACTTTTGCCTTAGGGTAATTATTTTCAAGACCTTGTTTTCCCTGATCTGTCACGGTTTCCGTTTTAGACACACTGTGGCCTTAGTGTACCGGTTCGTCGTAGTGAGTTTTACCCTGACGCGAGGCATCTGGAGTCCCCCCTTCCCCTCCCCCCCCCCCCCCCCCCTCCTTCCCCTTACCTGCCCCCAGCCTTCTACCTTTGTCGCTAAGTTGTAGTATCGGCGTAATAGTTCTCTCACCTTCAAGTGGCTCTGTCCGTACCGGTAGATGTTCTTCGGAAGAATCATGGCTTGACTTCAATTCGTGGTGGTACTTGTTTTCTGTTTAGAGCTTCAGTAGAAACACAGTTGATCAGGGGTTTTTTAATTCTTACACTGTGACCTTCGGGTTTTTTTTTTGAAACTGTGGAAAACCCTGATGGAAAAGAATTTTCTTAAGGGGTCACACTGATAATCAGGGATTTGCACAAGTGCAGGACTGATAATAAGGGTGGCTAAAAATAAAAAATATAGCCCTGCTTGTCAACCCAGTTGCAACTTGAAATTGCAGTTGGGCCAAGCGACCAAAACGATCGCTTTGCTTGCAATGCAACCGTCGTGAGGGTGCAACACGTAGACGCGCGCCAGTTAATTTGAGCTCCAAAATCCATTTGGCGGGAGCCAACGGCATTCTCATCTCGACAATAGCCAATCAGAACATTTAAATCTGAACACATTTGCTGTTTGAATAAGTGTTGTTTCGGGCCGATGCCTTGAGCTTTTCGCGGGACTATTTCAAGCTGGGACGGGGGTCACTATTTTGCGTGCTGGGTTGTCACTATAAAACAGGGGATAGATGCTTATAGCTCTGGTTTGTCAGACTAATAAGACTTTTTAGTCTGATAGGGTTAGCCATGTGTATTTACCACAAATATTCAGACCACATTCGGTCAACTGAGAATGAGTGAAATCTTAATGACATAAGAAAGTCTGGTGCACAGAGATTCTCGAGTCAATAGTGATAAAGCTTCGGCTTGTACAGGAAGCCTTTTTCCAAGCAATCAAGACCCGACGCGTGCTTATGCGTCCTTCAGAGGCAAGCTACAGTGCGGAATTTCGGGCAAAAGGAGGAACACGACGAACGAACTCGTTGAATTTTGAAGAACACTGTACAGTTGTTTAGGGCAGGGATGCCTGGTGGGTTGCTGCTTGTTCGGCGTATCGTGCTGCCCGAAGTGACTCCTCGCTAGCTTAGCTGCCCGGAGCGTGAAACTGGGCGAGGCGCATCTTGTGTGAGGTGGGGCTGCGTCAAATCAGTAATTGCACTTAATCTCTCCCAACCTCACTGAAGCGTCCATAATCGCCTAAAATGCAGTTCGGAAATGTTCTGGTTTCTGGATCTTTCCTCCAGAAACCCGCACGTGCGCGGAATGTTCAGGGGGAAGCCCCGAATGCGAAGAAATTGCTGGCGGGAAACTTATCATTGACGCTTGTTTACAACGGTTACCAGAGTTGTAGTGTGTTCAAGGACGGTTCGTTCAAACTTTGGAATGGTGTGACACGTCAAAAGACCAATATTGACAGAGAGGATATCGCTGGCCGACGTCAGTTCACTACATAGTTCCCTAATGTCACTACGTCGCTTTTGGAGTGTTTGAACTCTGGAATCTGATGCGGAGTTGTTTACACAAATACTCCACGACAATGTGCCCCAGGCGATAAATTTTCTCAATAGCAACGGACGAAAATGGCTCGTCGTTCCGTCGGATCTCGCTGTCACGCGCTGCTGCGAGCAACATCGTCGTGCGAGTTAGTACCGCTCCTAGCAACGCTCGCGCTGCTCGCTGCCTTGCTACCGAGTCGCGGCGTTCTCGCTGTGACTGATCCCGCTCATGGTAGGCGATTCGTTCCTCCGACGGTAGGCGATTCCCTGGGATTCCTAATGCGAATCACTGATCGCACAGGCGATTCTTGAGTCGTCAAGACGTTTCTTCTGAATAAATGAGCCCTACATACGCCTGCGAATGGCCCGGCGATTCTGCCGAATGCCGAATTCTACTGAATAGGCAAAGACGAATCTGCTGGATGCTGTTTCAATCACTCCTAGGATGTCGCAATTTGTTTGAGCGCATTCATCCGGGATGATATTTGAAGCGGTAATCGTCATTCGCATTCCCCCAATGCTGGTTACGTTCGGAGGACAATGTGTTCACATTTTACACATGTTGAAGCAGTGCACCTTTGCCGAGCTCCAGTGGAGTCTTTCTGGCTGTCAGTGCGAGTAGTCGGAGAACGATGATTCCGTTCATGGATTTGACGCTGTGGGTTTTCTTGAGGCGAAATTGCATCGCAAAAATCCGTACCACCCATGACTTACGGCTTTCAAGAGCCATACTTAGTGCTGGTAGTGACCTGGGAGCACCCCCTTGAACGCAAGCTCCTTTGAACTGAGAGCGCCTCAAAAGCTAGCCGCTCTGCTGCGCCGCCTCTCATTTTAGCTGTCCCCCGCCACTCCCCATCAGCATCCCTCTCCCCCCTCCCTTTCCCCCCTTGCCCTCCCCCACCCCTCTCCCTTCTTCCCCCACCCACTCTTTTCAAAACCAATTGGCCGCACTGGATGCACGACAGGGAAAGGAATGTTCACCACAATAGGAATGTACCTAGTGCCGCCAAGGGACAATAACCCGCGTTTTGCCACCTCTAGCCTGAGGCGATACCCTCCGTCCCCCCTCTCCACCCCAGCAGCCCTGCGGCATACATGGCTGATGCCCCATCCTGCCCATGCTTTCTTTGAGGCGGTTTTTGAAACGCCTCAGAAACAGCCGCATCACATGCACGGTTGATGACTCATGCCCATTCTGTGCTGTCCCTAGGCACCAAACACACAGCAATGACTTCTCTGCGTTTCCGCTCACCCGCCTTCCAGTGCCCATTCGGAGGACCTTCGCAGCTCTACTTACGTCACCTTGGTCACCCCAACCCAATCCTTTCACACGGCTGGTACCTCATAAGTGTACCTTGTCTGCGTTCCCCTTCCCCACTGACCCACCTTCCAGTGGCCATTCTCAGGACCTTCGCGACTCTAGGCAGCCCCAGCAGCCCCCCTTTCAACGCGTGGACGGGGGATGATCCGTGTGGGGGAGATGCGGGGAGCGCGTGGGCTGGCATCAAGTGCGACACTGGCAGCCCGTACAGTACAGTTGCTGAGATGTGAGTGCAATGAGGGTGGACAGGGATAGTGCTGTGTGCTCGGATGGGGTAAGTCACGTGTGGGGCAGGTGCGGGGAGCGCATGGGCTGGCATCACGTGCGACACTGGCAGTCCGTACAGTACAGTTGCTGAGATGTGAGTGCGGTGCGGGAGGGGGGCAAAACCGGGCAGGGTGGTGCTCCTTGCTTGAACGGGGGGCCAAACCGTGCAGGGCGTATGCAGGGAATGCATGACTGTGCAGGGCATCAAGTGCGACACAGGCAGCCCGTATAACACGTGGCTGAGATGTGCGTGGGGGAAGGGGGCGTTGGGTGGTGCTCCTTGCTTGAACGGGGGGGCAAACCGTGCAGGGCGTATGCAGGGAGCGCATGGGCTGGCATCAAGTGCGACACAGGCAGCCCGTACAACACTGTTTCTGAGATGTGAGTGCGGGAAAGGGGACTATGGTGGCGCTCACTGCTCCTTGCCTGAACGGGCCATGCGAAGCAGGTGGGGGAAGTGCATGGGCTGGGCTGGCATCAAGTGCGACACTCGCAAACCGTTGGCTGGGATGTGAGTGCAGGAAGGGGCAATGAGGTGGTACGCTGTTTGGGAGTCACTTTTGAGAATTAACAAAAGTAACCGTTGGCTGGGATGTGAGTGCAGGAAGGGTCATTGAGGTGGTACGCTGTGCTAGGACTGGGGAAGGCCCGTGCAGGTGGTGGTGCAGATGCAGATGCAGCGAGCGCATTGTGATGTGCACAACGCCAATCTAAAGAAAGACATGTGAGAATTACGTTTTGAGGGAAAGCTGGAACGACAGTTTTCTTACCCCTTCGCCTCTCCTCCTGTCATTTCCTTCCTCCTCTCCCCTCTCTCACCCCCTTCAGTGACATTCAGGACGCCCAGCTATCAGGAGACTTGCCGCCTTCCCTTTTCAACCTCACATCGCTTCGCCTGGTGTGAGTTCCCATGCCACCCCCATCCGCCCGTCCCTCTCTATCATTCGACTGCATGCCCCCCTTCCCCTCTCTTTCATTCGACTGCATGCCCCCCTTCCCCTCTCTATCATTCGACTGCCTCGCACTTTCCATATCTTCCTCCCCCTTCCCCCTTCACTATCCACAGCCAGCTGAAGATCTCAATTCGTAGCTCATGGAACCTCTTACCCTCAGTAACCCTGACGCTCCCATTGTGACTCCTGTCCCTGCCCCTTTCTGCCCCCCTTTCTTCAGCAATCTGGCGCTCAACCCGAATCTGACGGGCAGCTTTCCAGATGCTCTCGGAAACCTCCTGCAGCTCACCACGCTGTGAGTAGTGAGCACTTCTTTCCTGTGAGCTCTCTCTGCTGCGCTGCGAGCACCTGTGTTGTACGGACACTGCTGCATTCTAGGCACTCTGCTGGGCTGTAAGCATTCCGGTGCACCATAAGCGCACTGCATATGGGAAATCTGCATACAGGAGCACACGGGCTATCTGAAATTCCTCTTTCCTGCCCCTTATACCACCCCTTCTGCACCCCCTCCCCCCGCACAAACAACAAGCAAAGAGATGCACAAGTGTTGCCTATCAGTCTCCATCCCGTCCACCATAGGGCGACTCACCAGCCTCAAATACTTCCTAGCCAATCACAACCGCCTCTTCCTTCCCCCAACCCAACCCTCCTTTCGCCGCCCTCCGCAGGGACATGCACGGGTGCAGCCTGTCCGGCTCAATCCCATCCACCATCGGCCGGCTCACCAGCCTGAGCTACTTTCTGGTCAACCAGAACCGCCTCTCGGGCTCCCTGCCAACACAGATCGGCACCCTCCCCCAGCTCTACATGCTTGACGTCATGGAGAATCAGCTGGAAGGGCCCCTGCCGACCTTTGAGGGTGCAAACGAGCTCAACCACATGTGAGTGACACCCACCCTGCCCCTGCAGCCTGCCTGCCCAGATAGGCTCTCTCCCGCGCCTCTTGCTTGATGTCATGGACAACCGGATGGAAGGGTCCCTGCCAAAGTTCCAGGGGGCAAACGAGCTAAACCACCTGTGAGTGACTCCCCGTCTCCTTCTTCCCTGCGTCGCCTCTACATGCTTAACGCCATGAAGAACCAGATGGAAGGTTCCCTGCCATTGTTCGAGGGGGCAAACGAGCTCAACCACCTGTGAGTGTCAACCATCCCCTTCTATGAGTATCACCCCCATCCCTCTCCCTATGAGTATCACCCCCATCCCTCTCCCTATGAGTATCACCCCCATCCCTCTCCCTATGAGTATCACCCCCATCCCTCTCCCTATGAGTATCACCCCCATTCCTCTCCCTATGAGTATCACCCCCATCCCTCTCCCTATGAGTATCACCCCCATCCCTTTCCCTATGAGTATCACCCCCATCCCTCTCCCTATGAGTATCACCCCCATCCCTCTCCCTATGAGTATCACCCCCATCCCTCTCCCTATGAGTATCACCCCCATCCCTCTCCCTATGAGTATCACCCCCATCCCTCTCCCTATGAGTATCACCCCCATCCCTCTCCCTATGAGTATCACCCCCATCCCTCTCCCTATGAGTATCACCCCCATTCCTCTCCCTATGAGTATCACCCCCATCCCTCTCCCTATGAGTATCACCCCCATCCCTCTCCCTATGAGTATCACCCCCATCCCTCTCCCTATGAGTATCACCCCCATCCCTCTCCCTATGAGTATCACCCCCATTCCTCTCCCTATGAGTATCACCCCCATCCCTCTCCCTATGAGTATCACCCCCATCCCTCTCCCTATGAGTATCACCCCCATCCCTCTCCCTATGAGTATCACCCCCATCCCTCTCCCTATGAGTATCACCCCCATCCCTCTTCCTATTAGTATCACCCCCATCCCTCTCCCTATGAGTATCACCCCCATCCCTCTCCCTATGAGTATCACCCCCATCCCTCTCCCTATGAGTATCACCCCCATCCCTCTCCCTATGAGTATCATCCCCATCCCTCTTCCTATGAGTATCACCCCCATCCCTCTCCCTATGAGTATCACCCCCATCCCTCTCCCTATGAGTATCACCCCCATCCCTCTCCCTATGAGTATCACCCCCATCCCTCTCCCTATGAGTATCACCCCCATCCCTCTCCCTATGAGTATCACCCCCATTCCTCTCCCTATGAGTATCACCCCCATCCCTCTCCCTATGAGTATCACCCCCATCCCTCTCCCTATGAGTATCACCCCCATCCCTCTCCCTATGAGTATCACCCCCATTCCTCTCCCTATGAGTATCACCCCCATCCCTCTCCCTATGAGTATCACCCCCATCCCTCTCCCTATGAGTATCACCCCCATCCCTCTTCCTATGAGTATCACCCCCATCCCTCTCCCTATGAGTATCACCCCCCCCCCCCCCCTGTGAGTATCACCCATCCCGCTCGCTGTGAGCCCGCTCGCTGTGAGTATCACCATCCTCACCTGCTTTCACCTCTCCTTTCCCACCCTGAGATCGGGCACCTTTGGGTGTCTGTTGCTCCCTCTCACGTCCTCTCTCCCCACATCTTCTTTTTCTCCGTTCCGTTCGCTTTCCAGTAATCTGTATTTCCCCCCTCCCTCCCCTCTCCCACACTCCCCCCCTGTGGCCCCCCTGCCCGGCAGCCACATGAGCAACAACCTCTTCACGTCTGTTCCAGCAGAGATCAGCAGACTGCCCAAACTGCTGCACCTGTGAGTCGTGCTGAGGGCACGCATGTGTGAGTCGTGCTGTCGAAAGTCATGTGTGAGTCGTGCTGTCGAAACGCATGTGTGAGTCGTGCTGTCGAAACGCATGTGTGAGTCGTGCTGTCGAAACGCATGTGTGAGTCGTGCTGTCGAAACGCATGTGTGAGTCGTGCTGTCGAAACGCATGTGTGAGTCGTGCTGAGTAATGTACCCTGTAATTCCCACCCATACCCTTCGATTGGCTGTGTCATATGTGTAGTGTATCTATTCCATTCTATTCACCCATATTGGTTGGAATCTTGTCCGCTAATGTCTGGCAGGCTGATGGACAGCAACCGTCTCACCCATGACTTTCCACTCGCTTTCAACAACACCAACCTCACCGTCATGTATGTGTTTAGCGAGCGTCGATAACAACACCAACCTCACTGTCATGTATGTGTTTAGCGAGCGTCGATAACAACACCAACCTCACTGTCATGTATGTGTTTAGCGAGCGTCGATAACAACACCAACCTCACTGTCATGTATGTGTTTAGCGAGCGTCGATAACAACACCAACCTCACTGTCATGTATGTGTTTAGCGAGCGTCGATAACAACACCAACCTCACTGTCATGTATGTGTTTAGCGAGCGTCGATAACAACACCAACCTCACTGTCATGTATGTGTTTAGCGAGCGTCGATAACAACACCAACCTCACTGTCATGTATGTGTTTAGCGAGCGTCGATAACAACACCAACCTCACTGTCATGTATGTGTTTAGCGAGCGTCGATAACAACTCCAACCTCACTGTCATGTATGTGTTTAGCGAGCGTCGATAACAACACCAACCTCACTGTCATGTATGTGTTTAGCGAGCGTCGATAACAACACCAACCTCACTGTCATGTATGTGTTTAGCGAGCGTCGATAACAACACCAACCTCACTGTCATGTATGTGTGGGGGAGCCATTTTCCACGACTTTTGTGTCTTCACTCAGGCTAGGAGTCTTGTTAAATTAGCTGTTAAGAACCGGGTGTGAAATTAGCAAGCACTGTTCGTATCGCATGCATAGAGCGATCGCTCGCACCACCTTTATGTTGCTTGCCCGTCTCCTGCTGTGTGAGGTAACGTTTGAGTCGAAAGTGCTTGCACAACTCAAAAGTTGTGCGTGTACCACCTCCTGCTCATAAGCTGCTTCTGCTGCTGCTCGTAACCTGCTGCAAGCTAGCGTTGTTGTTCTTAGCTCGTCTTTTGCCGCTCGTCACTACGTGCCTCCATGTTAAAACCAAGTAATCCCCTTGCTCCCCCCTTAGTGTGACCCGTTTTCTCCTCTCCCACTCTCTCCCACCCTCTCCCACACCCTCCCTTCCCGCCCCACCAAGCAAGCAACTGCTGTAGTCACCATAATCCATTGTTCTTCGCCCCCTGCCCTCCACCTTCTCCCCTCTTACCTTCCTTTCCTTTCTTCCTACCCTCTACTGGAGCCACCACTTGAACCTCTCGCCTCCTTCACCTCTCCACTCTGCTCCCTTGCTTTCTCCCTCCATTTCCTCCCCCCTCTGTACTCCCCCACTCATTTCCCTCCCTTCTCCCTTCCCATCCTCTCTCCCTTCCTTCCCCACTTCCTTTCCTCCCCTCCTCACTTTTCTCCCTTTTCCCTCCCCTTCGCCCTCTCTTCCCTCCCAATCCATTCCCTTCCCCATCCCTTCCCCTTCTCTCCCTTCCCTCCCCTCTCTCTGCCTCTCCATCCAGCTACTGGAGCAACAACGTAATACCCGGCCCCTTCCCCTCCACCTCTCCCTTCCCCACCTCTCCCTTCCCTCCCCTCTCCCTGCCTCTCCATCCAGCTACTGGAGCAACAACAGAATACCCGGCCCCTTCCCTTCCACCTGGTTCTTCCCCCGACTCAAGGACTTGTGAGTCTCAAACCTTCGATTCAACCCCAAGCATTATTCCAGGACTCAAGGACTTGTAAGTTGTTCTCCGACTCGGGAACTTGTAACTTCATGATATAATGTTTTTATGTCGACTCGACATGTTAGCGTATTGCAGAGCAGGGTTGAAGGTGATTTGATGCTTGCTCTGTTTGTAGATGTGGGTATTGCATGTGACTATACCCAAATGTGCATGTGCATGCGTGGATGTGTCTATTTCCATGCGCCTGTGTATGTGTCCATACGCATGTGCATGTGCATGCATCATGTGTCTATGTTCATGTGTGTGTGCGTAGTGCATGGTATGGATCTCATGACTACATACAAGTCTGCTTGTGCACGCATGTGTGTGCGTGCGTGCGTGTGCGCATGTGCATGTGTGTGCATGCATGCATGTATGTCTATCCCATCCTCACACAGCCTCTTCAGCAACTGCTCTCTACCCAAACAGCCTCTCCCTTCCTTCCCTATCTCTCGCAACCTCTCCAACCTGTAAGCCTTGTTTCGCAATGCACATATCCATCCATCCATCCATCCATCCATCCATCCATCCATCCATCCATCCATCCATCCATCCATCCATCCATCCATCCATCCATCCATCCATCCATCCATCCATCCATCCATCCATCCATCCATCCATCCATCCATCCATCCATCCATCCATCCATCCATCCATCCCCATTCAATTCCCATCAAAATCACCTACATGATCTGCGTTGAACCATTTGAAAGAACTTTCCCACCCCCTTTTCTCTTTTGTCTGGTTTCTATTCACTTCCCAGCACCTCACCCTCTCAAAGTCTGTCTGCTAGAACGCTACTGAACTCTTCCTGCTAGACCGTTTCTCCCTCCCAACCCCCTTCTCTCCCCCAGTCCCCCTTTTACCCCTTCCCTTCCCTTCTCCCTCCCGCTCCCGCATTGCCTCCCCTTCACCTTCCCACATCGCCTCCCAGGGACCTGAGCAGCAACAGTTTTACAGGATCCATCCCGGGTGCTCTATTTTGGCAGCACCCTAACCTCGTCAACCTGTCAGTTCAACTCCTCTGTTTCTGTTTCCTACCGTGCATGTGCATTTCCAAGACATGGCTCAATAGCATTTCATCAGAGCTTTAAACATCACATTTTCCGTGTTTGAAGTTCTGCCGAAACGCTGTTGAGCCACGGCAACATCTCAGCAAAGTTTTCACCGTCAACTGTCCGTTGATGAATTCCATCAGGCTGTCTTTTTTTTGTGCCATGCTCCCATGCCATGCACCCAATGCCATGTACCCCATGACATGATCCCATGCCATGCACCCCATGACATGCTCCCATGCCATGCACCCCATGACATGCTCCCATGCCATGCACCCCATGACATGCTCCCATGCCATGCACCCCATGACATGCTCCCATGCCATGCACCCCATGACATGCTCCCATGCCATGCACCCCATGACATACTCCCATGCCATGCACCCCATCATATGCTCCCATGCCATGCACCCCATGATATGCTCCCATGCCATGCACCCCATGACATGCTCCCATGCCATGTACCCTATGCCACGCACCCCATGCCACGCACCCCATGCCACGCACCCCATGCCACGCACCCCATGCCACGCACCCCATGCCACGCACCCCATGCCACGCACCCCATGCCACGCACCCCATGCCACGCACCCCGTGCCACGCACCCCGTGCCACGCACCCCGTGCCACGCACCCCGTGCCACGCACTTCGTTCAAGTCTCAAGTTCCATTGCAACCAACCCCTCTCCCTGCCCCTTTCCATGACCTCTCCTCTTTCTCTCCTTCCTCCCTCGCTCGCCAGCAATTTGGCTAACAACGATCTTAATTCGAGCTTCCCTCCAGCAATCGCCAATGCTGCCAATCTGCAATCCGTGTGAGTGGGAAAGCCGCCGACATGAACCTGTATATTTGGCATAATTATTCTAGTTGGTATAACCATATTTGGCCATGCAGGTTTTGGAAAGGTGGAGGAACCTAGGAGCCAAGTGGAGAATGAGAGAGAAAGCGAATGATGTACAAGTCATAGTACAAGGTTATAAGCAGGTTGGGTTGAAACATCAACCGAACCGTTGTTCAGCTTAGGATGATGACAGGAAATTGGAACCAGACGGATGAAATGAAACTTGCTCTATCTAAAGATGTCCAGGATAATGATTTAGGTCCACAACAATAGCAGAGCGAGCATAAGCCTGTTCCAACAATGCTGCCTGCTTTGCTTATTGTCCTATTCTCTCATTCCCTTACTATTGGCTCCTTCTCCCCTTTCCACTATCTCCCTCCCACCATGACTAATGCCCCTTCAAAGGGGAAATGCAAACCATAGTTATTCCCCGCATCCCCCTGTACTCTCCACCCCTCCAGCTTCCTATCAGGCAACCAGCTCAGTGGTCCCCTGCCGGACCTCTCATCGCTGCCCAGCATCGTGTCGCTCTCCCTCTTTGACAACTCCCTCTCCTCCCTGCCGCCCGCCCTGCTCGCCAAGAGCAACAACATCACACTGCAGTGAGTGGCTTCTCCAGTGTGCCGCCCTCCAGTGTGCCGCCCTCCAGTGTGCCGCCCTCCAGTGTGGCCCTCCAGTGTGCTGTCGTTTAGTGTGCCGCCCTTTAGTGTGCCGCCCTCCAGTGTGCCGCCCTCTAGTGTGCCGCCCTCTAGTGTGCCGCCCTCTAGTGTGCCGCCCTCTAGTGTGCCACCCTCCAGTCTGCTGCTGTTTAGTGTGTCGTCCTTTAGTTTGCTTCCCTCTAGTGTGCGCCCTCCCTACTCACCAGTGGGAACCTCACTCTGCAGTGATGAGCGTGATCCCTCACAGTCTGTACTTGAAAACGAAAACGAAGATGCCGCTGCTGCTGTCGCTGCTATATAGCACCCCCTTTCATCCACCCTCTCTTTTCCACCCTCACATTTCCATTTCCTCTTATTCGCCTTCTCTTTTCCACCCCCATTTTCTGTTGTGTTAGCCCTCAATCTCAACCTTTGTACTTGTAATTTTATATCGTAGTGTAGTTTGTAGTTTGAGTTGGTTGAATCTACATCCACATCTCAACCGAACCCAAACATGATAAACTGAAATCTCCAACTTACCAATTGGAGATTTCAGCCAATCCTCTTGGGATTGCTCCCGATTCCCTCCCCATCAATTTCTTGCTTCATTTCAGCCAATTCTCTTGGGATGTAGTTAAAGCGACAGTGGACATTTGCCACCCGAAACCCTAAACCCTGGCGAACTGTTACTTTGGGGGAAAAGTGTCTGCACGAAATCCAGGTTTTCGCCAGCCAACACTTTCGCGCTGGCAAGCCTGGTTCAAAACAAAAACTTCTGAACCTCCGCCAGGCAAATCTAGACCCTCGTTTTAAGAGCCTTGAGCTCAGTACCTGATGTATCACTTCAAGCTCAAGTTCTTACATTCCCGCCCCTCCTCTGTTCCCTTCTGCTCCTGTCCTTCCTTCTCTCTTCTCCACGCCTCCCCATTCTCCCACTTTCCCCTTTGTCTCCCTCTCCCGACCCACCCTCTGCCCCCCCAGGCTTTTCAACAACGATCTCTGCAAGCCATTCAAGCCAGACTACACGCAAGTCTGCTCCCCCCCGACCCCCCTCACCCAATACACCTCCCCTGCCTTCTGTGACGGCCTCGCCTGTGAGAACGACCTCTACAGCCCTAGCGCACCGCTCTATAACGAGTCACACTCTTGCGTGTGCGTGTCCCCGTTACGAGCCGACCTGGAGCTGTTTATATCGGATTTCGTGGTGTACCATGAGGCGCTGGTGCAGCAGCTGGAGCAGCGGATCTTCTCGGAGCTCACCAGCAAGTCGCAGATCAACATCACCAGGCCACAGGTCAGTTTCCTGGGACAGTTGTGTGGTGTAACTTCTGGGTTTACTCTGAGGTGCCTGCAGCTGGAGCAGCGGACCTTCTCTGAGCTCACCAGCAGGTCCCAGATCAACATCAGTCCACTCACATCATCACCCTCTTCTTCCCCTCTTCACCTGCTTCGTCTCGGAGCACATCAACCACCAGTCAACGCTCATCATCACCCTCTTCTTCCCCACCACTCCTCCTCCCTCCCCACCAGGTCCTCGTCTCTGCAATCAGCAGCCCCTCCACGCTCGACTCACTCGCCTCCACCTTCGCCTCGGAGCACATCAACCACCAGTCAACGCTCATCATCACCCTCTTCTTCCCCACCACTCCTCCTCCCTCCCCACCAGGTCCTCGTCTCTACAATCAGCAGCCCCTCCACGCTCGACTCACTCGCCTCCACCTTCGCCTCGGAGCACATCAACCACCAGTCAACGCTCATCATCACCCTCTTCTTCCCCACCACTCCTCCTCCCTCCCCACCAGGTCCTCGTCTCTGCAATCAGCAGCCCCTCCACGCTCGACTCACTCGCCTCCACCTTCGCCTCGGAGCACATCAGCCACCAGTCAACGCTCATCATCACCCTCTTCTTCCCCACCACTCCTCCTCCCTCCCCACCAGGTCCTCGTCTCTGCAATCAGCAGCCCCTCCACGCTCGACTCACTCGCCTCCACCTTCGCCTCGGAGCACATCAACCACCAGTCAACGCTCATCATCACCGTCCTCTTCTTCCCGCCGGGCGGCGATGGCAGCTGGCACCCGCGAGACACACCGCAGGCCATCCGCAGCGCGCTCACCACCCGGGACCTTGCCGTGCGCGTTGCTCTCGGCAACTTCGGGCTCTTTCGAGTGGTTGGATTCTACGGCCCCGCGCGTGAGTCTGGTTTTGTTTCGCTTTATGTGATAATAGTAGAGTTTGGAGACGTCTCAACACTCAACTTTTTATCACGCGGTTGGATTGTACAGCCCGGCGCGTGAGTTTGTCGTATGTGCGTGTGTGGCACCTCTGCTGGGCTGATCACCTTGCTGTCTGCCCCCAGAGACACACACCGGCGGCCCCCAGAGTATGTTCCCCTCTGAGACACACGTCGTCTGGGCTGAGAGTAAGCACTGGTGCCATCGTTGCTATCTCAGTGACTTTTGAGTCGACTCAAAAGTCACCTCGTTACAATGGCACACGACACCGTCACAGCAGACCTCTTCTGGGCTGAGCACTGGCACGGCACCACCACTGCTATCTCAGTGACCACTTTTGAGGCGCCTCAAAAATGAGCACGGGCGCCATCGTTGCCATCTCAGTGTGCTCTTACCTCTCTTCCGTTTCGCCCTTCCCTTTCCCTTTGTTCTCTCCTTCCAACTACAGTCTACACTCCTCCAGCGCAGCAGCAGACTGCATCTCCTGGGCTGAGCACAGGCTCCACCGTTGCCATCTCAGTGTGCCTCCCCTCCTCTCTCTGCGCCCTCTCATTCCAACCCATCCAACCACCCCACGCCCACAGCCTACACCCCCCCATCGCAGCAGCAGACTGCTTCCTCTGGGCTGAGCACGGGTGCCATTGTGGCCATCTCAGTGTCCTCCGCTGCTGTTGCCATCGCCCTCATTGTGCTTCTTCTCATGCGACCCTGGGAGAGGAGAGGTAAGAGGACGGAGAACGGGGAGCGGGATAAGGGTTTTGATTCGACTCAAAAGCTATATCAGTGTCTTCCGCTGCTGTTGTCATTGCCCTCATTGTGCTTCTTCTCATGCGACCCTGGGAGAGGAGAGGTGAGCAGGAGAAGCGAGGTGAGAGAGGGAGAAGAGAGGTGAGGAGGAGAAGAGAGGTGAGAGCGAGGAGAGAGGTGAGAGGGAGGAGAGACATGATAGGAAGGAGATGGGTGAGAGGGTGGAAAGTTTTGTAAATCGACAAGAGGTGAAACGTTACAAGGAGGGTACGCATTTTTGGTTGTGAAAAGATGGGTTTGGTTGGATTGGTACTGTGGCCAGCAATTTTGGTCCCCGCCAAAAATTTGGGTTGGTTAGTCTAAGTTCAGTCATTAGATCATCCAATATTCCCCCAACCCAACGTTGAATTGTCAACTCTAAGGGAGATTCTAGTTGTACACCCAATCAAGGTTTGGGCGCCTAGCTCTGATGATGTAGGTTATATGTAGGATACAAGAAGAATGATATTCTAACACAACGCCATTTGTCAAAAACCTGACTTGCTCTTCCTGCTCTTGCTTTCCCCTCCTCCACAACTTTTTGCCCCTCCCACTTTTCCCCTGCAACAACAACAACAACAACAACAACAACAACAACAACAACAACAACAACAACAACAACAACAACAACAACAACAAGAGACCTGTGGAGCTCCGAGCACTACAGGCTACAGCGCGATCGAGGGGCTCCAGATGCTGGGCGTGCACCAGCGCAAGCTCAAGGAGAGCCAGTGTGTGCTCACCACACTTCCCCATCCCTCCTCGCCCCTCCCCATCCCTCCCCATCCCTTCCCACGTCTATGTTTCCCTGCAACAGGAGACGTGTGGAGTTCAGAGGATTACGGGGCGATCGAGGGGCTGCAGATGCTGGGCGTGCGTCGGTACGAGCTCAAGGAGAGGCAATATGTGCTCCCCACCCCTCCCCATCTCTCCCCACCCCTCCCCTTCCCTTCCCACCCCTCTTCATCCCTTCCCACCTCTCTTTTCTCCTACAACAGGAGACCTGTGGAGCTCGGAGGACTACAAGGCAATAGAGGGGCTGCAGATGCTGGGGGTGCGTCGGTGCAAGCTCAAGGACATAGCGGATGCGACCCAGGGGTTCAAGACGCTGCTGGGGGAGGGCGGATACGGACAGGTATGATTGTGAGAGGAGGGCGCAAATGGGAAGGTACAGACAGGTGCAAACAGGTGCAAGCTCAAGGAGGTAGCAGATGCGACCCAGGGGTTCAAGACGCTGCTAGGGGAGGGCGGATACGGACAGGTGCGTATGGGGAGGTATCTGAAATATCTGTGGGGCAAACGGGCTGGGGGAGGGCGGTTACGGACAGACACGTGCGTAGGGGAGATATATCTGTGGGGCGGACGGGAAGGTATGAAAGGCATAAAGGTGCAAGATCAAGGAAATGTCAAATGCGATCCAGGAATTCAAGATGCCGCTGAGGGAGGGCGAAAATGGACAAGTGTGACTGGGGGAGGGCGCGGATGGGAAGGTACCAACAGGTACAGACTGTGTCACATTAGGCTCCATTATAACTTAAATGAAAGATAAGAGTGCACAGGCGGATTTCTGTAGAGCGGCTTCAAAACTTGATATTGTCTTGTCACAGCACTAAATGAAGTTTTATAAATTGAAATTGAAGCAATAAATGATGTCGTCTACTATGGACAATCTGGATCACTCGATTTGATGAAGGATTGATGACGTGACAGTAGTTTGAGCAAACGGCTGCGAAGGGTCTCGAAAATATCTACCACAAGGGCCTACACCAGCCAAAATGTTACGCTACACAATGCAATATAACTATTTTCACTATCTTGATGTTTACCTTTTGGCGAGCTCCGAAATCATTTGAGTCTTGAAACAAAGGCCCTGGTCTATCAATAATAATGTATAAAAAATCTTGGAAGTTTGCTACACACACCTGCGACACGCCGAATGTACGACAAAGCAGAAAACGCTCACGATACGCAAACGACGACGTGACACACGACTTGCGAAAATCGCAATTGACCCAACACACACGTTCGACATCATGACTCGTCATTCACACACTCATATAAGCATGGAGTATATGTTATCACATGGTCTCATACCATGCCATGCAAACACACACGCACGCACAAGGACAACAAGCCCTCCCATGCTCACCATTCCGTGCAAACACACAAGCACGCACAAGGACAACAAGCCGAGTGCAAACCATGAGGTTGCACCATGAGGTACAGACAGGTACAGACGGATATGGACAGGTTTGACGGTGTGAGGGGGGAGGGCTCAAGTGGGAAGGTACAGACAGGTGCACGCTCAGGGAGAGAGATAGCGGACACAACCAAGGGCTTCAAGGTACTGCTGGGGGAGGGATAATATGGGCAGGTATATGGCGAGGCATATATGTGAGAGGGGGGGGGAGGATATGCGGCAGGTATAACGTATATCTGTGATGGGGAAGGGGAGGATATGGACAAGTATGATAGTGGTTGGGGCAGCTTCACTTCCCATGCCTCTTCCCATGCCTCTTCCCATGCCTCTTCCCATGCCTCTTCCCATGCCTCCTCCCATGCCTCTTCCCATGCCTCTTCCCATGCCTCTTCCCATGCCTCTTCCCAAACCTCTTCCCATGCCTCTTCCCATGCCTCTTCCCATGCCTCTTCCCATGCCTCTTCCCTTGCCTCTTCCCATGCCTCTTCCCATGCCTCGCTCCATGCCTCTTCCCATGCCTTTTCCATGCCTCTTCCCAGTGTCTGACCACTCTCAGGTGTACTGAGTGGTGCTGGTCTCAGGGGGAGCAGCACAGAAAAGCTCTGCCTTCACCTCGTCTCCCGTTTCTGCTCCCCGTGCCTTGCTTTTCTGCTCCCCGTGCCTTGCCTGCTCCCCATGCCTTGCCTTTCTGCTCCCCATGCCTTGCCTTTCTGCTTCCCATGCCTTGCCTATCTGCTCCCCATGCCTTGCCTTTCTGCTCCCCGTGTCTGATCCACTCTCAGGTGTGCTGTGCTGGAATCAGGGGATGTGGTTTCATGCGTCAAACACGTAGGTGCCAGAACTTCAGGCATTTGCCATGCCTCTCCTTCGTCCCGTGCCGGACCCACTCTCAGGTGTACCGGGGAGTGATGGAATCAGGGGAAGTGGTGGCAGTGAAACGAGCCAAGGGGCACGTGAAGGTGGGTCAGGAACATTGTCAGGTGAATTTTCAGGTGGATCTTCAGGTGGATCATCAGATGTTTGCAAATGTTTCCATGTGAGCCAGCGTAGTGTGGCATTTAATTGAGGGAGTGTACACACATTTCTTTTCCTCACTCCCCACTCCCCCACTTTCCAACTCACCGTCTGTCCCCCGCTCCCCCACTTTCCAACTCACTGTCTGTCCATGCCCCACCACTCACCAGCTATGTGGCACAGAGTTCCGCCACGAGAGTCAGCCGTGCGCCACCGCAACCTCGTGTCACTCGGTGGCTTCTGTGTCTATCGAACTCACCGTCTCTCCCTACTCCCCACTTCCCCACCTCACCATCTTTACATGCCACGCCCACCAGCTGTGCGGCACTGAGTTCCGCAACGAGATCCAGCTGCTCTCAGCCGTGCGCCATCGCAACCTCGTGCAGCTGAAGGGCTTCTGTGTGGAGGGGGGCGAGCAGCTACTGGTGTATGAGTTCATTGAGAGGGGCACGCTGGAAGATCTGCTGAGAGGTAAACACTATCACATTGTTAGAAGGACTGCACAGGGGATGCCCGATTGGTCCTAGAGAAGGGTTACAAGCTCGCTGACCGGGGGGGGGTGTTATGGGCGCACTGACCCGCTACTTAACAAGCTCTTTTATCCCAGTGGTCTAGTGGTTGGGATTGTGACACACCTGTCGTGTAGGGTCTGTATTCTGTGTGGAGGCGGGCGAGCAGCTGCTGGTGTATGAGTTCATTGAGACTGGAAGATTTGCTGAGAGGTACGTATCAATGAAGATCGCAACCCTAAACTCGAGTATTGAGCTGCTGACTCGAGTACAATGAGAGGGCAATGAAAATCGCCTTCCCATGTATATCAGCCCGTGTGTCCCCTCCTCTCTTTCTTTTATGCAACTGTCAGCCAACTTATGTAAGTTATTCTTTTAAAGAAAGGGTGCACTTTGGGGGGAGTGGAGGCAAAGGTTTATCACTTGCCTCCGCTTCCGTCGTCTGTTCCCCCAACCCAAATCGCGGACGAATTCGATTATGTTCGCCAGCACATTCTCCAACCCTCGCTCCAGTGTTTCATATGGTTGGACTCTTCGCCAACCATTCATAGCACCCTAAGGGGTGTACCAAACCAATACACCCGAAAACCACCCCTTGGAATAAAAATATCGAGGATAGAGAGACAACCTTTGAGGCACCGAAAATTCGTCAAGTATACAAGCATCGCACACACACTCCTTCCCTCCCCTTTGTATATACCTACCAGCACACTTTAAGCACCCCTCAAGAGTCGCCAAGTATACCAACAACCCACACTCCTTCTCTCCCCTTGGAGTGCCCCTGCCAGAAAAATCAAAGCACCCGCTGACGTGGCGGAAGCGCGTTGACATCGCGTGTGGGGCAGCCAGTGGGTTCTTCAACCCCTCCCATCCTCCCCTCCCCCCCCCCCCCCCCCCCCACCTTTTTCTCCTTTTATGCCCCTACCAGCCGACTCAAAGCACCCGCTGACGTGGCGGAAGCGCATTGACATCGCGTGTGGGGCAGCGAATGGGTTTGCGTACTTGCACCATCAGATCAAGCCGCCCATCATTCACCGGGATGTGAAGGTGTGTGCACAAACGGACATGCTCATTCGCCTGGGGGGTGTGCAAGCTGAGACGTGTGCGAGTATGGTACACCACCCAACGTCCCGGTGAGTTTTGAGTCGACTCAAAAGACGTGTGCAAGTATGGTACACCACCCAACGTCCCACACACATGAGCTTGCCAAGGGGGGTTGGCGTTGCTACTTGAGCAGTCTGTGGGGTTGCTTCCCTGTGCCACCAGACGGCCAAAATCCTCATCACAGCAGGCCTCGAGGCGAAGGTTGCAGCTTTGGTATTTCCCAAGGCTGAAAATGTAATATTTCTTCCTGTTCCCTGCTCCCTGCTCCCTGCTCCATGAAAATATAATCTTGCTTCCTGATTCCTTGGACTGTGCACCTTGCTTCTTGCCCCTCGCCCTCTCCTCCCTCTCCCCCCCACCAGACGGCCAAAATCCTCATCACAGCAGGCCTCGAGGCGAAGGTGGCTGTATCTGGAATTTCCAAGGCTGAAAGGGTTTAGACCCTCTTCCCCTTCGTCCTGTTCCCTGGCCCCTGTCCCCCTCTCCCCCCCTTCACCCCCCCCTGCTCCCCCACCAGACGGCCAACATCCTGATCACAGCAGGCCTAGAAGCCAAGTTAGCTGACTTTGGTATTTCCGAAGCTGGAGATATATCCCTCCTTCCCTTCGTCCTGCTCCCTGAACCCTGCCTCATTTCCCCTCTTCCCCCTCCTCCCCCCCAACCCCCCTCCTCTTCCACCTGACGGCCAACATCCTGGTCACAGCGGGCCTCGAGGCTAAGGTGTCCGACTTTGGCATCTCCAAGGCTGAACGCATATGTATCTTTCTTTCCCCTCTCCCCTGTCACATCCTCCCCCTGCTCCCCCAACAGACGGCCAACATCCTGGTCACAGCAGGCCTCGAGGCAAAGGTGTCCGACTTAGGAATCTCCAAGGCTGAATGCATATGTATCCCCATTCCCCGTCCCATTTCCCTTTCCCCTTTCCTCCTGCCCCCTGCCCCTAAACCAGACGGCCAACATCCTGGTCACAGCGGGCCTCGAGGCAAAGGTGTCCGACTTTGGCATCTCCAAGGCTGTGCCAGATGAGGTGGAGAAGGGCGGGAGGCTGGACACGCAAGTGAAAGGGACCGTGGTGAGTGCAGAGATGAGGAAGGTGTTTTCAGGGGTGGGAGTGGTGAGTGCAGAGGAAATCATGAGTGGAATCTTTAGGGCTGTGCCAGAGGAGGTGGAGAGAAGGGGGGAAGGCTGGACACGCAAGTGAAAGGGACTGTGGTGAGTGCAGGGGGGGGGAAGGGGGAGGAGGGAGGGAGGAGAGGGGGGGTGATTGAGTAGTTCCATGGCCTTGGGAGGAACAGCCTGAGGAGGTGGAGAAAGGGAGGAGGCTGGACACGCAAGTGAAGGGGACTGTGGTGAGTCAGAGGGGGGAATGGTTGATGCGGGCAGCGGGAGTGGTGAGTGCATGGGGGAGTGTCTGGATATCACACGACTTGTAACAATGCTCACTCACACCACACGTGTGAAATTTCTTTAGACGCCTAAATAACCTTTCAGGCGCCTCACGGGGAGCGTGTGAGTTGTTACGGGCTGTTTGAGATTCCTCTTTTCTCCTCTCTGTTATTTCCCCCCTTGCCTACTCCAGGGCTATCTAGACCCGCAGTATTTCCAGTGTGACCTGCTAACGGAAAAGAGTGACGTGTACAGCTTCGGCATCGTATTGATATGGTTTTCCTCTTTCTCCTCTCTGCTTTTCTCCCTCTTTACTACCCCAGGGTTATCTGGACCTGCAGTATTTCCAATGCGATCTACTCGCGGAAAAGAGCGACGTGCACAGCTTTGGCATCGTGATGCTAGAGCTAGCCACCGGTCTCCGCCCCTCATGCTCCTCTCCTCCCCTCTTCTTGTCATTCGTTTACCCTCCACCAGGGTTATCTGGACACACAGTACTTCCAGTGTGATCTACTAACCAAAAAGAGCGATGTGAACAGCTTCGGCATCTAGCTTCTAGAGCCAGCCACCGGTCTTCTCTCATCTGTCTCCTCTAATTCTCCTCTCCCCCTTCGACTCGTGTGTTTCCCTCCCAGGGCTATTTGGACCCTCAGTACTTCCAATGCGACCTACTCACGGAAAAGAGTGACGTGTACAGTTTCGGCATCGTGCTGCTAGAGCTGGCCACCGGTCTCCGCCCCGTGAGCAACGGGGAGCATATCCGATCAGTTGTAATAGACAAGGTTACCAACCATGGGGGCGTGTACAGTGTCATGGACCCAGTACTGAAAGCCTTGTGGGAGAGGCAGCAGTGGGGAGAGGGGGGAGCGGGAGCAGGAGGGGGAGCGGGAGCGGGAGGGGGAGCTGGAGGGGGAGCGGGAGCGGGAGCAAGGGGCGGAGAGGGCGGAGGTAACAGTGTGAATGGGGAGGGGGGGAAGGGTGAGAGCGAGCCTGTGGAGGAGACGTGTGGGAGTGAGGCTCTGGAGGATACGTTTGAGTGGTTCCTGCGGCTGGGGATGCGGTGCAGCCTCAGGCAGGCTCAGATTCGACCCGACATGCAGCAGGTGTTGAAAGAGCTGGACGGGATCAGGAAGATGCTTAACTGTGTCTCCGGCTCCCATAGGGGGAGTGGTGCTGCTGCTGGTGATGGTGGTGGTGGTACTGCTGGTACTGCAGGTGCTGCTGCTGGTGATGGTGCTGGGGATGGTGGTGGTGCTGCTGCTGGTGGTGCTGGTGCTGGTGGTGGTGACGGCAGCAGCAGGCGTGACAATGGCGAGCGGTCCAATGGGGAGAGGTCCATTGGTGCAGTGAGTTCCCAAGCTGGTAGATCCTTCTGGACAGAAATCGTGGCCTCGGCGTCGAAAGGGCCGAGCAGGTTCAAGGAGGAGATTGCGGAGGAGATGGATGAGGAGGAAGCGGTCGTGGTTTGCTGAGCGGATGAAGAGGGACGTAGGGAAGGCAGAGACGCCGGGTAGCGATGGGGATGGACTGCTGAACCACACGCTGACTTTCACCGGGAGTGAGCCACAGATCAAGGTGGTGCCTCGTTGAACGGGAAAAGGGAAGGAGGGAAGGGATGGAGGAAAGGGAGGGAGAGATGTCAAGCAGCGATAAGGATGGGCTGCTGAACCACACGGTGAATTTCACCGGGAGTGAGCCGCACATTAAAGTGGTTCTCCGATGAACAGGGGGGAGTGAAGGTGGAAGAGGGGGGTGGTATGGGGGAGTGTCAAGCAGTGCTGGGGATGGGCTGCTAAGCCACATGGTGACTTTCACCGGAAGTGAGCCGCAGATCAAGGTGGTGCCTCGATGAACAGGGGGGAGAGGGAGTGGTGGGGTAGGGAAGCATGGGGGGGTGTCAAGCAGCGATGGGGATGGGCTAAACCACATGGTGACTTTCACTGGCAGTGAGCCGCACATCGAGGTGGTTCCTTGATGGAAAGAGGAGGGATGGAGTGGAGGGACGTGAAGCAGCAATGGAGATGTGCTGCTGAGCCACGCGGTGGCTTTCACCGGAAGTGCCCCGCAGATCGAGGTGGTTCCGAGATGAACAGGGGAGAGGGCGGGCGGGGGAATGGGGGACAGCATGGGGGAAAGTCAAGTGAAGCTGGGGATGGGCTACTGAGCCACGCGGTAGCATTCACCGGGAGCGCACCACAGATTGAGGTGATACATCTGGATGTTCCTCCTAAGCATGAATGATCCTATTTGAGTGATTCGCTGAATGGAGAACGAAACTGTATTTTTGCTTGGTTAATCTTGCTGCAGAACGCTGGTGCTATAACGAGCACATATATGCTTCTATTTGGAAATATCTGGAGTAGTATACTCACCAGTTAGACATTTCTCCCAGAAAACCACAAATAGCGTATAAGCATCTCCCGAATCCCGATAGGAAGGAAAATATGGTGATGTCTGAAGCTTTACGGCTTAAAATTACTACATCATTATGAGCCTCAAGAATGACCTACAGCAGTTCTAGAAAAAAGTCATCCCACCAATGAGCACTCTGAAGCCTCTCTTTGCCTTCATGCTCCTGTCTGGAACAGCATGCATATCTACCCGGGCTTGTGCCCAAGAAATCGTCAAAATGCATGAAGCAGCTAGTGGTGTCACTCCCATCCGCACTATGTGCCTTACTGAGTTGTGCCTTACTGAGTCCAATCTCTTCCACCAGCCCCTCTTTCTCCGCATCTTCATGCATGCTGTTACGAATAGGAAATTACGAAAGCACTGTGCACTCCTAACAGTAGCAAGTGGAACATGCAGTAAAGAGTACGAAGACGAAAAGGTGGATTGACGCGAAGAGTCGCGTACGGTTACGAAGGATCTGGACCATCGGGGCAGACAGCATTGGGCAGCTGCGGTGGCGAGGATTCTGCCGAGAACAGTTCGTAACCGTCTGGAGTCGCACGGTTGGATTTCGCTGTAATAAGAGATTGTACCCCTTAGAGAACATGGCTAGTCTAGGTCGTTTCGTATTCCCCTGTACTCTTATTTATACGAATAAATTTGCATGTCTTTATCATCTCGGTAATTTTACATCCACTCTGACTTGAGGTCAATCTTCCGCTGCAACACTCTCTGCGAACCTTCCTGAGGTGATCCTAGGGACGATCAACATTTGATCGCAACATGGTATGAGAGCGAGTCAGGAATCCTTCACATCGCCACCTCCAAAATCTCTGGCGAACTAAAGGGGCATCCGGCACACGCTCTCGCGCAAAGATGGCTAGAGGATATGGCAGCCAAACAAATATGACCGCTGAAGCGCAGGTCAACCTGGCTGCGACAAACAAGGAGACGCCGACGATTAGCACCATCGCACTCGAACAACTGCTCCAGCGACTCTCGACCCTGGAGCAAGGGCTCCAGACATTGCGGAATGGCGACGCGGGAACATCTTCCCAACCCTCTCAACCGGCCACGAATGGCCACGATACCGCCCCGCACACCTTCACCCTTAACACAAATGGCTCAACACCCAAGACTCCCCATCCCAGCGATGAAGCAATTCTCTCAGCTCAATCAAGGTTTTTGAGCATATAACAAATAAAGACAAGTGCCTGCTTTGACGGCATATATTTTTATACTTGGAGCTTCGACCTGGAGCTGTTGCTGCAAAACGCGCGCATTTTTTCATTATTTCGACGAGAGCTACGCGAGACCCACGGCCGACACCGACGACGCCAAGGCGCAATATTATAGTGAATCACTCATGGCGTACGTCGTACTACTCCGCAACATGTCGCCGACGGAGCAGCTGGGAATTTGTTCCTACAAAACCTCGCTTGCTCCAGCCCTTGAAGCTTGGCGATACCTGAACGGTGTGTATCAACCGAACGATTCGGTGTCATCAAGCCGCATGCTTCAACAACTACTGGAAACCAAGATGGCACCAGGGGAGAAGGCAAATGCCTACATCAACCGTTGCCGGAGCTTACGCAATAAAATCGCGAAACTTGGGGGCTCGATTATGCTCGCAGGACTCGGCCCAGAATGGCGACCCCACAAGGTACTCCTCCGGCAACAGGGAGCTATCTCGGAAGCTGCCCTATGCGCCGCCCTTCTCGTAGAACAAAGGGATATGGATCAGCAGCGACCAGCGCCGCGACGAGAACGGGAACGACTCGCCTTCTAAACTCAGAAGAGCGACGACCGCGGCGCCTCTACTGCAAAGTTTGCAGAAACTTCGGGCACTCGGTGGAGTGATGCAAATTCCGCTCTCGCCCCCGCCAGTCCAATCCAAGCACTTGGACCGGCCGACACGACGCACGACACGACACGCGTCAAGCCCAGGGCTATCATCCCCCATCGCGTAACCTGAACACAACGGTTCAGCACCAGCAACAGCAGCCATTGCAACCTGCTCCCGCTCGAAATGTCATCAGTAACATGACGATGACACATACGAGCGGATCTCGCCGTCGGCGCGTGCGCACGCAGTCACCCGAGCCAGCACGCCATCCGATTGGGGCGTTCACAGATAACAATCCGCCAACACGACTTTAACGACGACGACGACCAGGATTGCAATCTCCCAATCCCGCTGCTTGAAAGCCCCCCGCACGTACTTGACTCACGGGCGGCGCCCATCGACTGGATTTCGCGCAAACAATTCTTGAAGTTCGACACTCCGCACATCGTCACGCCGCGATTGGCGCTGCTCACGCGTGACAACAACAGGCGCTACAACACGTGGTACCTGGATAGCTGCTGTGGGCAGCACATGGTGGGCTCCGAGCGTTTCATATCCAACGCCGTCGCCACCCCCACGGTCACGTACATCACTGTGGCAAACAACAATCGCCTGCGCGCAAGCGCGCAAGGCATCGTGGTCCTCAAGGCGCACGCGAGCAGGACACACATCACACTGAACGATATGCTGATCGTTCAGAATCTCCGCTTCAACCTCCTCTCGGCGGCGCAACTCATGGACTACGGGGTCGACCTTAGCACCGAGCCCAAGACCCGTGATATTCTCCTACACTACATGGCGCCGAACAAGCCGCGCAAGCAGATCGGACGAGCACACTCTGACAATGGCGTGTACATTCTCGACTTCAATATTCCCTACTGTAGTGGCGACACGGACGAGCTAATCAACCTCGTTCCGCTCCACTTCGAGCACATCCACCGCTCAGATGGAAGCATCGCAACGGGAGACCGTGGGTGCCACACCACCCACATCCGCGCGAAGTCGCGCTGCACAACCCTGACCCCGATGGCATCTGCAGAGACGGCCACACGCCAACAGCATCAACCAGTGCCATCGCAGGACGCGCACTCGCTGCAATCGCCGAAACAAAGCGATTCGCGCCGCCCGAAGAAGGGATGTCTCCCCTGGAACTCGAAGTCGTGACGCAAACCGTCTTTGGCTCCCCAGAAGATCCTCCCCTGGCACACCAGTAGAGCGGCTCCAAGGTATTTTACGCGGACGGCGTCGCGAAACCTTCGTTGCACGCGGAGTGGCACGCCCCTACACAAAGGAAGAGTTCCTGAAGGTCTACCCCCACTAGCGCGACTTCGCGAAGAAGTTTACCATCACTCAAGAAGAAGAGCTGGCGCGTTGCGAAGCAGAGGAGCTTTGCCAGAAGAGCATCTCCGAGGCGCGCGGAACCTTCGCGTGCAGCTCATGGGGCGTACAAGAAGAGAGCGCCACCAATGAAGGGGGGTGGGGAAGCAACGACAGCTAGGGAACGAGCGACACCGGCGGTTGGGGCAACACTGGAGGTACCTGGGAACAATCCCTGGGACCAACATATCTCTCCGTGTGATTCCCGACAGGGAATTCCTGGCGCTAATGCTGACGACGGCCAACGAAGAGGAGTCAGAAGAAGCAGCGCCAGCAGAACCTACCCCAGTGCCTGAAGAAGACCCGGTAGCGGTGCGCGCGCGATACATGCACACCTTTGGCCTCCGCGCAAACAACGACTTGTGGCATTAGTGTCAGAAGTAGCAGGTAGAAACAAGAATGAAGAAAAGGGGTTTCACTAGCAAGCAGTTGGATACATATGGCAAACCCTAATTGGGCTGTACTCACTATGGAGTACCCCACTGCAGGCTAGACAATTATAACATTTTGACACACCCCCATAGCCAAAGTGGGGTGTAATCAGCACAATGAGCAAGCATAGCAGTAGTTCACAATTATAAGCAAAGCTAAAGGCACTCACAGAGGGCAAGTGAGGAGGAGGAGGGACTGTGAGAGGAGAGAAGATGGGAGACGACGGCTGAAGCTGCAGACACACGGGCAACAGGAGCTGCTGGCACAGTGGCTACCGGGACAGCGCCCCGGACTACTGGACTAACTGGCTCACGGGCTACGAGGAGCTACAGGAGCAACGGACCCACGGGCGACAGGCGCAGCAGGCTCTATGGGCTACCAGGACAGCGCCCCGGACTACAGGTGCTGCGGACGACAAGACGGCAG